TGTTTCTTCATATGGTTTCTGATTTCTTCAATGGTGAGAACAAATATTTTCATTATTCTCTTGGCTTGAGACCTCCTCACCTCAATGCTAGTGTCAATGTAGACTCCATTCCTTCCCATAGTATGAGATGAAAGAGGTTATTCCATTCATAGTTCTAAAAAAATGCCTCTTTCATGGAAAGGACATCCTAAAAAATCAGCTTGGTTTCTGCTCACAACCTTGTCCTGGCCCAGGCTGTGTTTTCTGATCCCGAGGGTATATTTAAATCACATGGTATACCTTATGTCTGACTTAATTTTGCTTGTGGCTTGTCTTTTATTCTCTTGACTTACAGGCCTTATGCTTTAAAAACTGGAAATTTGCTATTATTTTCTCTTGCATTCAATTCCACATTTCATGTTTTGTGTCCTATTTCAATCTGCATGTCTAAAAATGGGAAGCAGAACAAGATTCCGGCTAACTAGTTCTTCATTCTTTTACAAATTTGGGGCATAGATTTGAGACATAAAACACACTCACTCCTGAAGGTTCTTGCCACTTCTGACATCTGAGCTTTGCTTGAGCACTTGTCACTAGGCCCCTGTCTTCCCCACTCTGCTTGGTTCATTACCAGGATTTCTCGATTCATCAGTATAGGGTCCCGTGTCCCAAGACTGTTCCTGTGTCTCTGGCTATGAACTCTTCTCTTCACAGTCACCATGCTTCCAGTTTAGGTGTTTCACTTTCCTGCACTGTTTTGCTTTCTTTTGTGAGCAACAGTGTCTATTCATTTGCAGTAAGCAGGCTCTCATGTCAATCATAAATTCCCCTTCCTTGTCACCAAATCGTGTTGTTTCTTTTGTATGATTTTCCAAAAAAAAAATAAAGATTGCTAAGATTAGTTGATTTTTCACTAAGAGTTTTAAAAAAAACTGAGTCTCTAAAACCTCAAGGGTTCTTTCACCTGACTTAGTCTCTTTCCTCCCTAATGTACTTCCACTTCATGTGAGCGAGTTGCATCAACTTAGTTGGCCTTTACTCAGCCCACTGATTCTGATGTGTTATTTTTTTTCTCAAACCTGAGCAATTTGGATTTCTACCAGTCCAAAATTCATTAGTAACTCTCGATAAGTAAAAGGGCAAGCATTCTCATTTCAGCTCAGTAAAATGTACTTAAATAATTTTTTTACAGGAAGCAAAAAACTTGTAATGACTCAAAGGAAACTTTACCTTTTAGAAAAGAGCTTCGTTCTTGAAAAAAATGATGCCATGAATACGTGTAGGTTACCATAAATTCATTCTACTAATGTACATTTTATGTATTATAGGTATGTAACAATTACTTTTCACTAGGTAATGTGATCTGTAAGACAACGCAATTTTTTTAATGGTGAAGTTTATTAGGAGAGGAACAGGGGAGAGAAAAGAGAGACAGAAGCATTTCCTGTTTCCCACGCAGAAAATGGGAGCTAAGACTCCAGACGAGGCAATTTTTAAAAGTCCTTGAATCAGAAATCCTTTGTTGAGTCATCTTAATTTATTACTGATATTTTAGGATATTTCATGCACATGGAAATTAAGGGTTTCTCAAGACTCTTTTAACCAAAGTATGGACAATAGGAGGCCAGGTAAATGATCAATGAGTACTTAGTACATTTCACGCTCAAATATAAAAGTGCAAAAAAAATTTAAGTTGTATCTTTCCCACACACACACATTCTAAAAGCACACTGATATTTCAGTGCAAGATATATTTACTTTATATATGTTATTAATATTCATGTTCCTTGAGTTAAATCATGTTGGCTAATAATTATACTTGAAGGAATTCTCATTTCTTTGATGAAATTTATTAATAGAACAGAAAATGTGCTTGATAACATTGAGAAATATGCATTGTTTTTCCTAGTTTATACATAAAATGCAGATTTGACTATTGACCCATTTCTGATGCTTGAAACAAGGCAATAAATGAGTTTTCAGAATAGCTAAAAATACAATATGCAAAGGTACTTTTAAGACACAGCTTTAGAATCAATTGTCTTTAGTGTTTTATTTCTCACTTGGTATATTCAGGAGGGAAAAAACAACTGGGTTTTACATTATTTGTGAAAAACTATTGTTATGCCAATAAATGTTGAGAACACACAGCTACATATGATTTTTAATTGTTTACATCTCTCCTAGGGTAGAAGGTAAGATTTCTGTGTGAGCTGTCCATGAATTTGATTTGGCTTACTAATGAACTGTATTTTATTTGAAACAAAAACTCATAATGCATATACATGATATCAGTCCCAGGATATTTATAGTAGTTCCACTCCAGTGGCGACACATTAACTTCACAACTAAATAATTTTTTTAAAAGGGGGGGAGAAACTTCACCAGAACACCCAAATAACTTTGCCTACCTCTTCCTGCTCCTTCCAAATTCAGAGATAGAAAACAAACCAATCACCGTAAACATTCATTTTCATTATATACCATTATTTTCCCTGAGATTTAAAGATGTGTCAGATTAATGCTCTATTCTCAACTGCCAGTCCCAAATAAAAATATTTATATTCCTTCAACCTCATGTCATACAGTTCTATGAGCAATGTGCCATTTATATGTATGGGCCACAGGAAAGAAATTAAAGTGCTCCTGAAAAAGGGAGGGTGGTATTTTCCCTCCTTCTCACAGTCACACACTCTGGCTAAAAAAGCCTTTTCTTTTCTCAATTAGAGGAAATCAGAAAAGGAGTGAACCCAGGAATGCTTTTGCTTTCCTATTATTCACCTGCATGCCCTTCTGACTCAGATCAGAAGACACAGGTGAGTAACATAAATGTTATCTTAAGGAGATCTCCTAGCATAATGTGATATATCAAGATGTGGTTAACAATGTTTTTAATTAATAATTTTTAAAGTTTTAAGGTTATTGAAGACCAAAAAAAATCCCTAAGGAGGAAATATTGTCATGTTTGTATTGCATGGAATATGCACATGCATCAACGTAGACAGACAGACAAACACACACCTTGAAACCAAAAGTAACAATCACATTTGGATTATAGAAATGGTGGGAAAGGGTCTATAGGTCCTTGGGAAATATTTGAAATCTTTATCATATGCAATATGACTTTCAAAATTGAAAATAGCTGAGAGTATACTTTGATGGTGGAGTGCTTAGTCCCAGGTATATGTGTAGAGAAAAAGAGAGAGGAGAGAGGAACAAATGTTTTACAATAAAATGTATAAAGCAAAAATAATGCATGCAATTAATTATAAACTTCTTTGTAAAGGTAGCTGAATTTTCAAACTGAACTATCAATTGACATGTTTTTAAATCCTCATGTACTCAATTCAGTTCTATTTTAAAGGATAACCATTTTGATATTTTGTTATGCATAGTGAGTCAAACACATTAACTAGATGACATCCAAGTTAAAATATGGTCAGTGAATTAAAAGTAGCATGAGTGGTTGCATAGGTTTTCATTAAACCAGAGAAAGAACAAAAAGTAAGTATGATGAGAAACTGAACTTGGTAATGTCTGTTCCTATTTGTCACTCATGTTTGTCATTTGCAATAAGTTTGTTGTGAGAGAAACATGGTTCCATAAGATTCAGTTTCATTTCACATTGTTGGGTTTTAAAAGGACACCAAATGTCAAGCAAGATTCTGGGATATGTCAGGTTTTATCTTTCAAAATTTAATGTAATTACAAATTGTTTTGGATTTTAAAAGGCTATGACACATGAAACTTTTAGGATATATTCAGCTTTGTCCTTCAAAACACTTTTAGTGATAATCATTCAGATGTTGGAAAGAAGTCACTAACACATTTTAAAATCAGGCCCAGAAAATAAGCAAAGCAACATAAACACTAATTTTTATCAAACTCCAAAATCATCCCTCCTTTTTCATGATACTAAAATCATAAACATTGGAAAATTGTGCTGGTTTTAAAAGTTTATTTTGTAACTGAAAGTCAGTAGAGCTATCTCCCTGAGATCCTGTCTTGGTAGAATACCACATGAAGTTTTTGCATGAAGTATTCTTTTAAAAAATCTACCCATAACTGCAGCAAGATCCCACATGTGGGTGCACATTTTATGTCATATTTTCAAGCGGTTTTCTAGTAAGGACTAAAAATCACCTAATTTACTCAGTACTCAATTAAGTAAATTATTTATACTAACTATAAATAAACTTGCTGCCTATGGGTCAGATTGTGTTTGAAATGCTGTAACAGAGTGCCAAAATTAGAAGAGCCCTGTAACATTACCTTTTGTAAAGATCAAAAACACTCTCTGATAATAAATGCAGATTGCTCCTGTGTTTTGGGCTTGGCTATATTTCAGTATTGACATCCTATGGATAGTAATAATGACAGGTAAGGTAAAGATGGAATACTGAGCAATTCTGCTTTGAAGTCTCTCTCATAGAGTTTGCAGTTTCCAGCCACATGCAAAACTGTCAACCTCCCCAAAATAATGACATTCTTTCACTGACTCTTTTCTAATGTCCCCAAAGTTATAGACTAATGAAACTTAAGCAAAGCACCTCCCCAGCATAATCTGACATCTGCCATGGTTGTAGATCTGAGAAAAGAGTCAGGTGAAGAGAAAAGCATCAGATTGTCACTGATTATCACTGATCTTTCCAGACGTTTTCTCTATGTTCAAAACCCCATTCTGCCGGAATTCTTGCAGATTATAAAATCCGTCTCTGAATTTTGAAATTAGAGTTTTTCCACAATACTCACAATATTGTTTTACTTCCATGTGTGATATATAAAACCAATGGATTATAATCAAATATTTCTTAAGCTAAAATAACCCATATGCCCTTTATATCCTTTGTAGTTTCGTATTATCTCAAGATGTGTTAGAAAATGAAATGATAAAAGCTCTTCAGTACATCTAAGGTTTAAGTAAGCTAACCTGTCTTTAGGTCAGTGGTTCCGTATCAAGGATGTGCCTACAGGTTAGAAGTGCTGACGTCCTAAGTGTCTCTTCCTGAGAAGTTCCCCACTTAGGGCTCAAGAGTAGACACTGGTTTGTGCTCTTCAGGATCATAGGCTGCCATTCCTTGGTCTCTGCAAACTGGACAACAGGTTCCTTTCACCAATTCAGGACTGGGGCATGGAGCTGGGAAACAAGTCTCCACCATGCATGTGACTTGGCCACTCTAAAAGGCAACATTTAAATATCATTCTATGTTTCTTACGGTAAGTCTGTATTTTTTTAAATTCATTATAGTATAGAACCTGATAGGATCTCTCACTCTAATGAAAATTTCCCATGGTCTGAACTACCCTTGCCATGTGGTTTCTGTGCATTCTTCCTTTCTGCACATTTGCAGCATGAAAGGCAAGGCAGAAGCACTGCCCTATAGTATGCGACCAGTACACTTTGCACAAAGAAGTTCGTGCATTTCCAGACAGCTGGCGGAACCAGCTCTGCTCAGAAAGCAAGCTATATTGACTAATGCTGTGCATTCTAATTTTTTTATGGACACATAAAAAAATGATGGACACAATGATGACACTTTGTTACATTTCTATAGGAACTGTTGTTTAACATGTGCTTTTGGGCAACATTTGTGATGAGCTTCACTGGCCTACCACTCTGCCTCAGTTTACTTGTGTGACCTTGAGCAAGTACCATAAGCTTATCTGTTAGTTCCCTCAGTGTCATAGCTATATTCATATCAATAATCAGAAGCCTTGAAATAGTACACAAGGATATTGATGTTAAAATTATGCCTAACACCTACTTGCAAAATTGTTTTCCTGTTCTTGAGTTGTTGTGGTATCTTTCTGCTGATCAGCTAGGAGAGGTTGAGTGAGAAGGGGAGGGGAGACTGGCACCACATACCACACAGGCACAGTTAATGCAGTCATCCTTGGTCCAGTGTTCCCCTTCCTTCCTCTGCATCCCTTTGTCATCTGCACATCCTGTCTGCCTCAGGCGCTCCTCCAATTTGTTTATCTGAAAGAGGAAGGAAAGGGAAGGAAGGTGGGAACTGAAATAGGTAGCAACAAAGACATTCTCTATTCCATAAGCACACTCCTAGAAGGCAACAGAAATTTCAAAGCCAACATAATTTCTGTTAATATTTCCTAAAAAAACTTAATGAATCTGAATCATCCAGTGGCTAAAGTAATAAACAGTTCCCTAAGTGTGGAAGTACACTGATCATAGATCTATGACTTGAAGCAGTTAATTTCTATAAGAAAAAGAGTTAAAATCAAATAAATGAAATCACAACTTTGAAAAATAGAAGTAGAAACATTAATTCAACTAATCAATATTTTATTTCTTTCTCATCACTTAAGTTGTCCTAAATGGCATTCATTTAACAAATATTTATTAAGTTTCTAAGACGAAAGCAAGAAACTCAGAGCTTTGAGAAAGTGGCAGAAAGACAGACCAAGGAACCTCCACTGTAAGCCAATTAGATAATGAAGACACGCTCATTATCTATCGTGGGTTGTACGAGGTACAGAAGGGAAGCCACACTCAGCTCTGTCTCAAGAATTTAGAGGTGCCCTGTGTTATGGGATGAACTGTGCTCCCAAAACTCATGGTCGAAGCCCTTATCCACAACATGTCTATTTAGAAATTGAACCTATTGTGTGCTACTTATTAAGGTTAAATGAGGATGTAAGGTTGGATCTCTAATCCAATTTCACGGGCGTCCTTACAAAAGGAGAAAGAGATAGCAGGAGAGCAGGAATGTGCATAAGGGAAAGACCACGGGAGGACACACTGAGAAGGTGAACGTCAGCAAGCTGGAAGAGAGGCCTCAGAGGAAACCAGCCTTCCCAGGCTCCAGAAGGGTGAGGAAATAAGATTCTGTTGTTTAAACCATTCAGCCTGTGGTATTTTGTTATGGTACTTGAGATGACTAATACAGCTTGCGTGAGCGAAAGAATGTTTGAACTATGAAAGATGAAACACTTTCAGGAAATAAGCAGAGGAAAGACCTGTCAGGAAAAGGGAAAAAGTTATGTGTCCAAGCACAAAGACCACAAACAGGTTAGTGTTTCAGGAATGGAAACTAATATGCAGGGGAAGCTCACGGGGGAATGTTGGTGAGAACTGTCTTTAGAGCAAACACAATTAAGACTTTAAAGTCACATAAATTAGTAACTTCTCCATGCAAAGTCAATGATATCGCAATGCTCAATACAGGCGCAATATGAAAATCATGAGCATCTGGTGAGATTTGGAACTAAAACAAAAGAAGTAGTTGGTAGACCAAAATTGGCTCGTGTGAAGGAGGAAGTAAGGATCAAAAAGATATTGGCTCAATGTGGATTAAAGGAAAAGAGAAGAACCTAAAATGACTTCAAAGATCCAAGTTTCACCAAGTGCATAAATGTTACTGACATTCATTCAGACAATATTCTGGAGCATACTTTTCAAAGACTTATGATGGGTGAAGATACTAAAGATGTTTTATTAAAAGAGATTTCAGGAATAATGGAAATAAAATAATTTTCACGAAGGAAGAAACTAAGTCCAAGAATACTAAATGACTTATGGTTGTGTTTTCATGGATTGAATTGTGTCCCCCTCCCAAAAAAATGCATATAATAAAGTCCTAACCCACAGCATCTCAGGCTGCATTTGGAAATACAATTGCTCCAATGTAGGAGCAATTAAGGTAGACAGAGGTCACTAGGGTGGTCCTTAATCCAATATAACTGGTGGGTTTATAAAAAGAGATTAGGACACAGACATGCACCAAGGGAAAACTATGCAGAGACACAGGTGGTCCATCATCTATACGACGAGGAGAACGACCTCTGAAGGAGTAACTTGGCTGACAACTAAACCTCAAATTTCTAGTTCAAGAACTGTAAGACAAATTTCCATTGTTTAAGCTATCTAGTCTAAAGTTTGTTATGGCAACCTTATCAAGCTAATACAACCACATTCAGGCTTGAACCTGTATCTTCAAATAATATATCTATTGTATCACACTGTATCTATGAACCAATTTCTTCCTGTCCTGTAATGAGTGTTCCTTCCAAATTCCTTTGCTTTCATTATGGTTGGAAATCACATCATAATTTCAAACACTGACCAAGTAGTGACAAAAATTATTCTGCCCAAGAAAACTTTTGAGACAAACAACTGATAGACCAGAGGCTTGAAGACCATAAAAATGATGATTCATTTAGAGGTAGTTATTGAGTACATGCTGTTTGAGAGACTAGAGCTACTTCAAGAGGAAACTATTCTTAAGGAATCTTGTCTTATTGCACTGGCAAGAACCTTCTGTACTGGGTAAAATAAGAGTAGCCAGAATATTCAACCATTCACTGTTCAGCCTGCTAACAGTAAGGTCTTATTTCTTTTTTACTGCTTTGAAGATGTTCTTTTGATATTTTTTTCAGAATTTTGACAATGATAAACTTTGTAACAATCAAGTGAATTTCTTTGGACTTATCCTTGCTCTTTTTTTTTCCTTCTAAGAATCTTAAGACCCAAATATTCTTTGTTGATGTAGATTCCACAGATCTGTGAGGTTCTGCTCATATATTCTTAATCTGTTCTGTCTGTTGTTCAAACTGTAATTTCTAGTCTTTCTTTACTTCTTTTATTTTCTCTTTCTCCGTTCAATTGCTGAACCCATCCACTAAACTCTCTTCCTTTCTATTCATGTAGTTTTCAGGTCTACAATTTCATTCTGGTTCCTCTTTATGACTTCTATTACTCTGATGAAAGTTACTATTTTTCATTTATTTCCAATATGTTCGAAATTGCTTTTAGAAGCATATTTTATGGTTGCTTTAAAGTCTTTGTCAGAATAGAGCCACATCTCTGTCACTTCAGTGTTGAATTCTATTTTTTTTTCATTCCATGCAAGATCTTTCTGGCTTTTGATATATCAATAATTTCCTACTGAAACCTTTGCATTTTCAGTTTTATAGGATTTTGGATCCTTTTAAAATCTTCTGTTTTAGGTCTTTTCCTCTGAAACTGCTCAGGGATGAAAAAAAGGGACCATGCTGCTACTGCCCTATGGGACTAGAAATTGGCCTCTGTTGACACACATGGGATCTCCTTATGACAACTGGGTAGAATTGGGCTCTCTGTGAGGCTTTCACTGACACCTACCAGGATGGGAGTCATAACTGTCACTGCTTCCCACATGGCCTCAATTATACCTTAAGATGGGGAGGAAAAAGGGTGACTTCCTTGCCTTGGAGAAGTGAAAAGTCCCCCTGAAAGTGCCTTAGCCAAGGAGGTTGGACACTTCACTAACACTGCAGTGGTGGCCATCCAGCTTCCATGTCACCCCTGCTTTGAATGTGACCATCTGCAGGGGTGAAAATCCCAGCTTCTCACTTAGCTTTCTCTGACAGCAGATTCAGGGGAATTAGGAAGGCTCAGTATGGTCTGCAGAGGGTGAAAGCCAGCTCCTCACTTAGTCTTCGCTGGTGTTCCTAATATATATATACATATGTTTTTGGCTGGGGTAGAGTGGTTATTGTCCAAAAGATTTCTGTATTGCAAGGCTGTCCCTTTTTTTGTCCTTTGCCTAGAAAGACTAAGGTTTGGGGACTTTTTCTAGGCCTGCTAATGTTTATAGATTATCATTTTCTTCAGTCCTGCATTATTTTAATTTGAGTTGCATTGCTATCTCCCTCCTCAAATTCAAATCTTGAAGACCTAAACCCTAGACTCCAGAATGTGATGTTGTTTGGAAATCAAGTCATTGCAGATGTAATTAGTTAAGATGAAGTCATATTGGAGTCACCCTACTAGTAAGGTGGACCCCCCTATTCCAATATGACTAGTATATTCATCAAAAAGAGAAAACTTGAAAACAGACACATGCCCAGGGAAAGCACCCATGTGAGGATAAAGACAAAGATCTAGAAGCCGAGATAACCCAAAGATTGCCAGCAAACACCACTAGAAGTTTGAGGAGAGGCATTGAAATATTCTGCCTCACCACACTCAGAAGGAACGAACCTGCTGACACCTTGAACTTGGACTTCTGGTCTCCAGAACTGTGAGACAACACATTTATGTTGTTTAATTTGTTCAGTTTGTCATACTTTGTTACAGCATCACTAAAAAATGAATACAGTTTTCATCAGAGGCTGACCAGAAACATTCCTATTCAGTATTTTTCTTTTAAAGGAAAAGTAGTTTTGGAGATTCACATGTGTAAATCTTCTCTTACTTAAGAAAATTTAATCATAAAGTCACCTTAGGTTCAATCAGAAGGATAAATGATCTCAGAACTTATCATTTTTGTAAAAATGATCTAGAAAAAAATGTTTGCCCTTTAAAAGGCAGTATTCCATTTTATAGACAAGTTACTTTGAATTGAAAAATCCTTAATCGCATGTGTTTTCTTTTTGTCACTGCTACAAAATACCTGAGATAATCAACTTCAAAGGAGGACAGATTTAGTTTGGCTATGGTTTTAGTCCTTGGTCTCTTGACCCAGTTGCTCTTAGGCCTATGGTGAGGCAGCACGTCATGGTGGAAGACAGCTGCTCACCTCATGGTTGCCAGGAAACAAAAGTCAGAGGAATGTGTTGGGCCCCAGATTGCCTTCACCAGAATACTCCCAGTGGTCTGCTTCCTCCTCTGTGACCCAGATCTTAAAGGTTTCATCCCCTCCCAGTACTGTCATCAGCTAGGGGTTGCACCTCAACACATGAACTTTTGGGGCCATTTAAGATCCAAACCATAACATCACAATTTGCTAAAAAAAATCACAATTCCAGAAATTTTAAGTATTTACTGACATATTTGGCAGAATTTCGGTTATTTGTATTAAGTGGTCATTTGTCCCTGAAGCTTACTCAATTTTGTGACCAAAGTTTCCAACACTGAAGTAGCTTGTAGCATAGTGTGTTGTTTTCTTCACACTATCAGTGGTCCTCTCTGTTGAGTTCTTCTCTAGTCCCACCTGCTTACTCTTGGGAATGAATGCCCCTCTCTTAATGATGTAGATT